AGACTTCACTACTCTATTGTACGCTGTACTTATCTACTTAACTCTCCAAAATCCCTTTCTTTTTAACAGAAGACAACAGCAGAAATTGCCAAAGAATATTTTAAGAACATCTAAATACAAGCACTTTGCCTGTAAGAATGTAAAGATAAAAATGAATGAATGAGGTAAAACTATCTTGTTACTTCACTAATCAATATAGACTCATGGCTTGGCTGCTTCAGCACTGACGCTGCAGATCTGCCAGTGCTTTTTGCTCCTCCAGAACCGCACCAGGTTCGATTGAAGGTCATGGTGTGGCTTGGGAAAATCTTATCTTCTCCTCCTTCAAGCAGCCTAAGCTCAAACCACTACCATCCTTGAGCCTGCAGGAATTCTGCATACATTACTGGACAGACAGTTAGAACCACCCCAGCAGATCAGATCACTGTGAATTGGACCAAAGGACATAACTTACTATTTCCACCAAATTCTCTTCAAGCAAAAGAATCAGAAAACATCTTCACCACACTCATAGCTCTAAGAGACAGTCTTTTTAGATCAATTAAGATGCAAATGTATTCTTTTAATATCATACCCACACAGTCTACATTAAGTGCACACCCAGTGGGAATACAATATGAATTTCATGTAATTTTCTTAAAATATTAGAATTTTCCCTTAAATACAGTAACTACCTTCTCAATAGCTCTTAAAATATATTCATAGCTGAATTTTGACTTTGAAAAATTATGATTACATAGTCAAATTAGCATTGCAAGTGTAAACATGGTATTTTATATGCATATATCAGCTTAACTACTTACACTGACTGAAGCATCCCCACACTGTATTTCCTCAGAGGCCTTCAAGAGGAACAAACTGGGCTGAGGATCAGAGATCTTGTTCCAGCTCACGGGTCTGACAAGTTTTTGCTTACTTTAGGCATGTTACTACCTTTCATTCTCTCTTGTAGTATGACAATACAGTTTCATCAGGGAGCCCAGCCATGCCTATTGCACTTTCCCAATTAGAATTTACTAGGTTGGACCTTCTCACTATTATAGCACTATTTATGAAAACACCCATTTCATCCTGGCTTGATATTATACAGAAGGATTTAAACTGATCCACTGGAGCTCAAGTGCCAGAAACCGACTCAAAAACTTCTTGTGCTTTTTATTGAACAGGATGTATGCCATGGCTGAAGGTAGGAAGAGCAGTACCGGGCCAGCCCAAGGACCTAGCTGGGTCACTCTCCACCTCCAATGTGGCTGTAAGGACATACCCAGGGCATAGCGAGACTTGGGCAGGCATGAGGTTAGTTCCTTGGCCCTTAGCCTCCAACTCTCATCACTGAAAGTGACTTCCTGAGCCTTATGTGGTTCTTATGCCATCTCATCTTCAAAATGTAGCCACAGTCCGTTCCCTCACATGCTATTCGTGACCTCCAATCATGCCCTCTTCAACCACTGCAGGGAAAAAAATAAATCTCCTTTTAAAGCTTCTTTACTAATTTTATCCTGTGTTAGACCAGAGACATGAGCAGTTATGCCACGGCGCAGTCATTTGCACAGTCTGTAAATTCTAAGGTAATAATTTTGGCATCCGGGTTGATGCCCCAGGAAGCAGCTGCTAAGTCGCACCATCAATTAGCAAACAGCATCCCCACCTAAGGGGCAGTTCCGAGAGCTCTTACAGGTGCAAGGACTCGCTGGAGCGAGGGAGGACCTGCAAAAACCGAGCCCCGAGGGCACCTCTGGGGAGGCCGGAGCCCGCCCGCCCGCGCCTTACCTCACAGCAGCCCCTGCTCTTGGTATGGCACCCAGAGGCATTGGTATCCAGAGCAAACGGCCATCCAGAGCCTGTTGTTTTTTCTCCCCATGGAAAGGGTGAAATGTTTCCAAAAGGAACATTTTTTTCTTTAAGTTTTTTTTATTTTTTTTTTTTTTCTTTTTAAAGCCTCGAGGACTGGGTCCAAAAAACCCTACTGGAGGAATATTGGTTCCTCACACAGAAGCAGCATCTTGATCTCTGTGGTGCTGTCCTGCTTTGTGCTTTGAGTTAAAGGGTGGTAGCAAAACCAGCTGATGCATTATCAGCAGGTGTGTTATATTTCACATCAGTAAACACTGCAATACCCAGGTCAGAGAATAACTAGAGTTAGAGAATACATATTGCTACCTTTCTTCTCCAAGAAAAGTTGCTGGGGTCTAATTTCCAAGAGAAGCACAGTCAAAAAAAACCGAAACAATAGCACTGAGACAAACCAATGGGCTTTACCATTCAAATCATGACAGGCTTCTACACAAAGATGTCCCACTTCACACCTGCCTCTACAGAAAGATGAAGTTGTGCTTTAGCACATGCCTTTACACAGCTGGACGAAAGGTTTAAAACCTCATATGAAAATATGATGCCTCCCTCTAGTGGGTTCTTTCTGTGACCATGTTTTATGTGGAGAAATTGCTTTATAACGTTGATCAAAAGCAAAGCATCCAAGCACTACATATACACTTAGTCTGAGTTTAACAACTCAAATCCATGCAGCCAGATTGTCAAACACCATGGAGTTGCTAGTGTGCCACCATCAGCAAGATCAAACTTTTGTTCCTGCCACTGAATCTGTGCAGCAAACGTGCATTCAGAGTTACAAGCTCAGACTTTGAAGCCAGAGTAGCATTTGTCACAAGGAGTTCAGGGTATGAGAACCACAGTTAACATCTCATTTCTCCTTTCAAAGCTTGTGTCTTACCTTTATTAAAGGTGTTACAGAACAATAGCCACAGCATGCCAGTCTGCTAGCAGAGAGGGGTTAACAGTGATAGAGAATGAAAGAGGATGCAAGCAACTTGCTTACAACTTGCTTACAAATATTTAAGTTTTTTTTTCTTGAAACAGTGATGCTGTGAGAGAGTGAGAGAAACTACCTCTGGAGGATCCCAAAAATACATTTCTTCTGCAAGTGATCCCAAGCTTATGCTTCACAAACTCCTGAAAACTGTTTGGAAAAATTAAGATACCACTGTCACTCCAGGAACTTTCTTCCTTTTTGGATAGCTGTCCACACAGGGCTTCCACAGCATATGGAGAAACCAAGAGATCTTTTACCACACATTATTAAACCTTCCTTTTCACAGTAGCATTGAAAAAAATTTGTATCTTGCTCAAACCAATCATGCAGCATGAACAACCTACATCTGTAGATTTGATTCTCTGAACACATTCTAGTTTCCAGCTTACAGTAGAACCAGTCCAAAAAGACAGAAGCTAGTTTACTTGGCTTCAGAGGACATTACACAGTGAGGCAAATGTTACTAGGTCTGCACTTTAAAGATACAGAGTGAAGAAGTTTTACTCATCCATAATACCTTTTATTGTCTAGTACCAGTATGTGATCACCTTTAAAGGAAGTTGAGGGGTAAGAACTGAGGAACATACCAGCTGCACTTTACAGATTAACAGCCACAAAAATAGAAAGCAACTATACAATCTCTGGATTTCACAAAACTAGTTCTCATTTGCAACACTTGACGCAACAAGATTAACTGCAACAAGTGAAGAAGCTACATCTGTAAAGTGCTTTTTGTTAGAAGTGGCTAAAAAAAGCACAACTACAACAGATTTGGGAATTCGGTGGTTAGATTGTCGATGTCCTCCAAAACTTTCATTTCAGGCTCTGTGTTTTTTGATGAAATTGATGAGCCCATTTGTTGAGCTATCATGAGATGTCACTGGAGCATCTGACTCCAGTTCAGGCTCAATTTTCTTGGCAAGTTGTTTTCCAAGTTCAACTCTGCATTTACAAAAGCAGAAGAAAGAAAAAAAACATTAGTGCTAACAACTTACAGCATTTACTATAAGCCACTGACATTAAAAATAGGTGCCAGTAAAGAATAACTTGACAGTGAACACTATTCATGAATATTCTTCCCTTCACATATTATTGACAAAGTTAATATTACTCAACTCTGTGCCATTCATGAACAACTGGAGTTCTCACAGCTGCTTAGCTGAACAGACAGCTCTCAAATTACAGGATGTCTAAGAGAAAGTTTTGGTTTAGAAATTAAGCAGAGTCTGTTCCCCTTTAGTACTTGTTTGTGTTATGCAGCCTGCCCCAATGCAGAATGCATTCAGCTTGCTACTGTTCACTGTTTAACATGACATCACTTAGAACATTTATTTGTAGCACCAAGACAATAAACAACAGCTGAGTTGCAGGCCTAGAAGCCTTCCCCAGCACTACAGCACACTATCCAGGAGTTACTGCCACAGACAGGGGAAGAATCTAGGATATTTCAACAGCTGCAAGAAACTAGGCTGGTTCTACAGCATCCCCACATTCCACAGTTAGTTTTGGATGCCATTCTAGATTTTGATGTGTTGCAGTAAAAGCTGTGCTTACTCCTATCCCACTCCTGATTTCAGAGTTTACAGCAGAAATCAGCTTTTATTAGACAGTCTTCCGTTTTCAGTTTCTACTATGATATTTTAAAGAACTTCCTGTAGTAGCATAACTCTAAGAAAGCATATGTGAAGACAGACCTATCCTTCAGCTTTTAAGAAGGGAGCTTAGTGTAAACTGCTATTCTAGGCATGTAGAGCAAACGTTCTCTTCCAAATAACCCCTCACAGCATAGGCAGGTTTCACCTGAAAAATCTTACTCATTTCCCAGCCCCTCTTTCTCCTACATAACTCTTCATACAGTATGCAGTACAGTTAGTATTACTACAGGTTAAAATAATCTGATTAGCTCCTGATTAAGTCTTCCATTTTTAAAAGTGACTAAGTGACAAACTCCTTATGAAGCTGCTGTTCTCCACATGGAGCTCTACCATGAACCTTAGTCACAGGTGCAACCACCATTAGACCTAGGGCTCCTGTATATGAAGACATCTGCCAAGAATGTTCTATCTCCAGTAAAAGAAAATTAAGAGATGGTCAGTCTTTCACTTAAGAGATACCATTCATGCTGCCTACTAAATGTTTCTAGAGGTAAAATAACTTTTTCCCCTTCTAGAAGTGAATTTATTTTCCCTTTTTTAATTCTCAGAGCATGTGTTCAGCCTGCTTGACTATTTTACTCATCGCTATTGCCTCTTTTCTACATTCATAGTATTTTTTTAAAAATCAAACTGAACAGAGGTCCTTAGCTAAAAGTATCTACAAAGTCATTATGCAAGGCTGAACAAGGATACATGACTTATCCCCAGAAAATATTTTTTTTTAAAAATTTTTAAATTTTTTTTTCATTTAAAACTATCCTATAATCATTTGCTCTAAGTATAAAGCTTATTTTTTCATTGTCTTTTCCCTACGTCATGACAGATTAAGAACTACCACAGTAAATAAGTATACAAGAAACAGATCAAAGAGACTTAACTTACCCCCACTGGTCATAACTGTTAATATCCCAGACAATTCCTTGAACAAATATCTTGTGCTCATACATGGCTATAAGCAGAAAAAACCACAGATTTATCAATAAACTTTATCAGAAAATCATAACAAGCATTCACAGGTGAGATCTATTTACTTACCAATGATGGCTCCTAGAGTGAATGGGTTCAGTTTTGTAAACATGATGGAGTTGGTTGGTCGATTTCCCTCAAAGACCTTTCAAAACAAGAGTTACATTGGTACCTACTATACTGTAAAACTCACATCAGAAACTGGTAGTTTGCATTTTCCTTATAGCCCACATTGGATTATTTATATTAGCAGCAAATAAAAAAAATCCTGAAAGCTTTAAAGGCTAACAACTTCAATGACAAAATTGTATAATTTTGATGTTTTATTACAAACACAATGGCAAAATGTTATCTCTAAGCACCATTAACTGGCTACTATGGGCTACAGGAAGAAGTAAAATACAAGTCAATATCCTAGAGGCAGTGATGAGATGGCTCATGTTTTCTGAAATGCCTCAAAAGGCTTCCAGATCAGCACAGCAGGAGTGCCATTCACAGACTACTCCACTAGACCTGAGAAGGTAGAACCTGTCAACACAACCTTCGCGGTTGTTAAGACAGTAGCACTTGACAGCCACCGGAGGGCACTGCCCCATTAGCGAACTCCATCAGGCAGAGCAACACAATGCCCTCACCACCACAGTACATCACTAGGGGAAAGCTGTCAAGTGGCAAAGCCTGGTTACCTTATGGGGAAGAAGCTTCTCCAGAGCATCTCCACTCAGTCCTGCTGCTTGAAGTTCCTTACGAGCTTCATCAGCAGTCTTTCCTTTCATCAAAGCCTCAGTCTGAGCAAGGAAGTTGGCCAAAAGGATCTAGCAGGTAGAAGTAAAAACGTCAACCCAAGCTATTGTTTCCTCTAGCTGGAATAGTGAGACCTAGAGTGCCTGAATCTAGACTGAGACCTAGTCTAGAGTTACAACTAGTTTTTAACACTATGGCAGTAAGTTATGCAGTAATTTTAAGCTGTATAATGCTTACTATTACTTTTTACCTCAGAGTGCCAGGCAACTTGATTACTATTTTAATAGTGCATGTATCCAAAGACAACCAGAACTGCTTTGCAGAATCCTGCCCCTGCTGAAACTGACTGCAAGCCTTGCAGCGAGAACAAAGGAGCCAGGATTTCACACACGCCTTTCACCTAGTATAGTCTACACTTCTATCCCATGCTGCACCATATGCATGGAAAACCAGGTGCAAAGATTGGTCAAAGGTAATCAACTAAGATGTACTTACTCTATATGAAGGAAAATCCTCACAGCATACCATATATTGATCCCTACCAATACAGTAGAAGTTTTTAGTTTCCTGTTCCCTGTCTAATGTTAGCTTGCAAATTCATGTGTGGTTTTGTCCTATCCATGACATTGAAGATAAACTCTTACTATATCTGCAGTTGAATGAAAGCTTTTCTCCCCTTCTTTTGCAAAGTCATCTTCTAAAACTTTCACCTGTACTTGGTGTTACTTGACAAAAAGTTACTGTTACGCAATTTAAATAGCACTTGTAATCTGAAATCATGACAAGATTGAAATTTAGTGAGGAAACATGCTTTTCCTGAAATATGCAGTAAGTAGTAGACCTGGCCATGTTTCCACCTATGGAACTTAAAATTGTTAAGACATTGTTCACTGGAAATCCTTAGTTGGATGATACATTAAACTAAAAAGATTGGACTGGTTAAGAGTATCTATGCATAGAAGGCTATCGCCCTAGCTGTGATAGTATAACTAAATTTTTGTCGTAGAGTTTAAGACTTGAAACAGCATCACTAAGGAAGTTTTCATCAGCTCTGAGAATTTGCTTCTTACTACTCTGCAAGAATTGCACTCCTTACAATTCCTACAAGGAATTTTCTCTCCAAATACTTAATTACTCAAGTCTTTCCAGCCTCCATAGGCTAATAGGCCACACCACTGATCTGCTTCAAGAACTGTGGCTGCAATCTCTTCAAGAACAAAAATACCACTATTACATATAATATGTAGTTACAATTTAGCTTTTTTCAAACCCATCATGAATGTTCATAGAACCTATGTATATAGTTTCAAAGGGACATTTAGAAATCTTGCACACTGCAATAGTGAATAAGCTTCAATGCCTTCAGTCACAAGAAAATATGGGTGCCCTGACAAAGAACTTATTACCTTGTGATGCAAGCCATTTCTGACTGGATGCTGGGTCTGGACTGGGATCAGAAAGTCACAGGGAATCATGCGAGTTCCTGTAAGAAAAGCCATGTTAATAACCCTGCAACAGGAAAGTCTTAGAAAATCTTCAATTCTCACCCCATTTTCAGAGTTACTGGAAGACTCAGCCACTTCAAGAAGCTTTTATAAAAAGCTTTTTTTATTAACAGCAGTGGGAAGTAACAATACAGCTCAGTAGTTTCAGCTTCAGTTGTTGCTCCTTACTGTAGAATTGAAACCTGCATCTTTCAGCCTTCTAAAGCCACTAATTAAGAGCACCATAGCAATGTGATGCTAGATTAGATAAGAGCCCAACCTCTAAACCAGTGTCAATTCTTCCGACTCTTCCAGCTTTGTAGCCATTCGGAGTTTAATTCCAAAACAAGGTATTGAATAGTTTCAAGTTTACCTTGATGGATAAGCTGGTAGAAAGCATGCTGCCCATTGGTGCCAGGCTCTCCCCACACAATAGGGCCAGTACTGTAGTCCACACGAGAGCCCTTCTTGGTAATGTATTTACCATTAGATTCCATATCACCCTAAAAGAAGGGAAGAGCAAGAAAGGTGATACTGCAGAATCACATAGCATCAGTACAAGTTTCCACACATACTTCAACTATAATGAGTGCTGCTCATTTATGGGAATTCCGTAAGTATCAGGGATATAGGTGCTTAATTTATGGACACCAAGATAATGGAGGTCTGAGAAAAAGAATCTCTAAATTAGCTGAGCAGATAAGCTCATCTCAATCTTGGCACCAGTCTCTTCCGGCCCTTGATTGCAATTTTAACCTAGAAACATGCATTCAGGTTCTAGAACCAGGACAGAAGCATATCTACATATTTGCTTCTTGACACCTTTACTCTGCCTGAGTCTTACCTGCTGGAAGTAGGCAGCAAAGCGGTGCATGTATTGGTCATAGGGCAGAAGGGCATGGGTTTCACATCCATAGCAGTTTATGTACCATACACCTAGCATGGCCAACAGAACAGGCATGTTCTTCTCCAGTGGGGCAGTGTGGAAGTGATTATCCTATGTGACACAAAGGAAAAGAATTACACTTTTGATAAAGCAACCGTCACCCTTCCCAACTCTTAAAATTGTTTTTGTTGTTGTTTTGATACAGTGAAAGCTTCCCAAGCACAGTCTTTTTAGAAGCATTGAGAGGACATGGGGAGATAAACTTTAGTAACCGAACTGCCTTCAGTTATCTAACAACTCTCAAGAGGAGCAAATCTGAAATAGGCGTCCCACACTCACCATCCAGTGGGCTCCTGCAAGCAGGCTCTCAAAGTTGTCAAAACCTAACAAGAGAAAAAGTCAATTTGTATTTATATTACAACTCAAACTTGATTTTTCTGGTAGAGACAATCATAAAACAGTTAAGATTCCTTGCATGCAGCAAGGCTCCCAACTACTAATTGAGTTTAAAGTTGCACTTTGACGTCTCCTGAAATTTGCATCCCATAAGCCAGATATATTTAGTTATGATTAAAGCCTGGACTTCAGAGCAAGTCCAACTTCATTAAATGTACTTCAAAAGCCTTTGCCCAAAATCCCCACTCAGGCAGAATGAGGAATTGGAAGGAAAACAGAGGCATTAAGACCAGGCTCTGTATTAGAGGCTACAGTTTTCAGCAAGTTTGAACACTTAGTCACTTCGCCGCAGTGGGATAGATATCCTCAAAAAAAAAAGAGGGCAAGGCTAGTACAGCAGGGATTTCTGTGTTAGTCTGAGGAGAAACAACTGTACTAAGATCTTCTCAAATGGAAAGGTTCCCCCCTACTTCCCCATTCTCTCAACAGTTCACCTGATTTTTATTTGCTCTATAATTGGGTATTTAAATCGCCATTCATTTTCACTAATGAGTAGTTTAACTAATACCATCCTTTCCTGCAAAGCCAGAAATCCCGATTTTTACACGGAAAAACTTGAGATCATGGTGAAGTGTTTGACAATCAGGGCAGCAGCAGCTCTACCTATGGTCAGAAGCCAGCTTTGAGAGATGAAGGATATAAGAGCAAGAAGTGCAGATAGACTGGCGTGTCAGCAGTCAGCACCAAATCTGTCTGACAGCAGAGATGAACAGTTTATTGCAGACAAAATAGTAAGTGCCTGACTGAAGTTTATTTTGCTGATCAGATAGGTTTTTCTACACATGACAACTCCTATTCATATCATTCCAAGAACACCAAACCCAATGTTTTTCTTCGAACCTCAGAGCAAGGGAATGCCAGCTGTTATTTAGAAAAATAAACTACATTATGGTTTTAGACTAAGTATCTGAAAGAAGTGATGATGGAACAAATACAAGGCTGCTGAACAGCCTGCTCACCAAGGAAGAGCAGTTCTTAGACCTCTTTGACATTCACTGTGTACTCTCCACCTGCATTTGAGATCTGTATCAGCAATGTCAATACAATACGAGTAGGTAGGGATCAATTTAGAGGGTCTATGTTTGCTTCACAATCAACTGCAGATAGAAACAGCATTCCTGTATCATCAGGCCCTATAGCCTAGAAGAACAAATACTGGGAACAAGAGGAAGCGGAGAAGGAAATAGTTAACAATGCTAAACAGAACTCATATGCAGAACTGGAGACAGGATTTTGATGTTTAGTGGGTATGCACTCACAGAAACTAAACACCCTACTCTTAAGTTTAGGAATATCAGTTGCAAAGTCTAATTTTCGACATTGACGTGGCTTTACATAAGTCAGGCACTTTGGGCTATACAGATGACTAAAGAGATTCAATTTGACTATTTATACCTAAGAATGGGTAACTTCCAAAACTGCATTTACAGTACTAAAGTTTCAGTGTTTCCACTGCATTACAGATCAGTTTCTAGCAAAAACATCCAACTACTCAGTAGGTTGGGTAAAATAATACTTGCCACAAATCTGATCCATAATCCACAATTGTTAATGCATTCCACAGTTATTTTCCTGAAGCAAACAGATTAATTCTTGACATTGTTACATCATAGGAATACCTACCAATGTGCAGGGCGATGGAGAGACCAATGGCAGACCACAAAGAGTAGCGGCCACCAACCCACTGAAAACAAGAGATTGGTTTAGTCAGGGAGACATGCAAGGCTTTTAAATTCAAGCTTATTTAAACTATTACAAAATAGCAGCATGTGTTTAGACTATTTTCAGCAAAATAAGTATTATTGCTGGTGATAATTCACTACATGTTATATGGTATGATCAAGGGAACCTGCACATTACAGTAATGAATCCTTAAGTATGTGTTTTTTGAGACTTTAAAGTTATCTCACTTGTTCAATTTATATAACATCTGTTGAAGCAGATCCCTTGCTTCCAGTTCACTCCCAAATGCTAGATTTGCAGCTTTTATTAACTGCTTTCCCAATATTACTCCTCTGTAGGTAAAGCCTGCTTCAGCAAGATCATGATGCTATCTAGGGGAAGGTAATGCTCTAGATAATTTCTAAACAGCAGCTTTAAAAGTTTAGTTTGTCAGGCACATAGTCAGACATAAACCAACCTGTTTCTGATTAAGTATAAGGGCGAAGACTAAGGGCAGTATACTTAAAATATGTACCTGCTATAAAATATCAAATCAGGTTCCTGTTTCTGATGTTTGACCTTTACAGGCCTAGATTATATACAGTAGACCCCAACAGTCAAATGTCACAGCTTATAATAACTACTTACACTGAGGAATAAGCTAAGACTTGTATCTCCTGTTACCCAACAGCTGATTAGACAGCCAAGAATACAGAAGCTCCTCTTCAGACCTTTGACTGCAGGATTTTAATGGAATGGCCAAGACTGTTTTGCTTGCCTGACATGTTCCCAGTTTGCCTTTAGTTACAAGTTTTCAGATATTTCAGTACAGAGAATACAACTATAATATAGGGGATTTGGCAGTTTCCCCGATATCTAGTTAACATTTTCTGAAGCAAGTTAGATTATGCTAACCGTTAACATCTACCACACAACATTAGACATTTACTTACATCCCAAAACTCAAACATGTTGTCTGGGTCAATTCCAAAGTCCTTAACTTTAGGCTAGAATAAAAAGAGCATGTAAGAACACCATAAGTAAAACCAACATTCTTAAAAAGCTGTATGTCTAGCAAATAAAAAAACACAAGTTGCATACCTAATCAGGATACACAATTTCCCAATTACATCCTCAATTTTAAAAATGCAGAGCACTCATCAGAAAAAGTATACCTTCACTTCCAGAGATCAATATGACCATTCTCAAATAGTAGTTTCAAAATCTATTACATACTCTTCCTTTCAAGAAGGCGGCTAACTACTGGTATTCAAGTAATGGTGTCTTAAAAGATAGCCTCATTTTTAAAATCCATTAAGGAAGCCTATCTTAAAGGTACATAGAAAAAAAAAAAGATTTGTTATACTTACACCATTGGTAGACAAGGCAACAAAATGTTTGGCCACAGCTGAAGGCTTAATAAAAATAAACAGATTGTTAGAACAAGAATGCTAATTATTTTGATTTCTGGTCACAAAGCAGATCTGCTACCATTTACACTTAAACAAAATACTGTTGACTATCACCAATTATTTGTGTGTTATCAACTTGAAATCATCTTATTCACATTCAATGTGGGATTTGGCAGCATGCTTGTCTGAAGATAATATTCTGATAATATTCTCATGAAATCCCTCTGGAAGCAGTCACTACTTAGAGCAGCACATTATTTCCTTAAGTATATGTTATCAGTTTGGGACATCACTAACACCAATTTGGAGCAGATGGAATTTGTTGTACATGTGCTACCCTTCCGGCTAGAGTCAAAAGACTAAGACAACTGGAATTACTAATAAATCTCAAGCTCCAGATTTAGACTTTGGTCTTTCAGCAAGTGTTCTGGTGAACAAAGATGAGTTGTCTGCCACAATAGTATAATGAGGAATTTGAAAGCCCACCTTTCAAACTAAGTACAGCTACCCTGACTGGAACAGGTTAAAGACCATCTTAACCTGAGCAGGCAGTATCTGCTTTTTTCTTTTAAAGGTTAGAAATAGGAGAGAACAAGCCAAATACAAGGTTTCTATTGATAGCACAGCCATCTGTCATAGAAATGCCAGTGTATGACTCTGACCATAGCTTCATTTCCAGTTTTTAAAGATTTTCCAAGAGTTGGAAAGTAATACCACATAAGCACCATATTCCTGGATTTCCACATCAGTGGTTCCACCAAATTATTAGCCAGCTCAAAGGTAAATGCTACACTATTACTTAACAGGCAGGACTTTGGGGAACAATGCATGACAGCTATTTCTAATGAAAATCGAGTGGGTTTATCACTTTGACCAGGCATAACAGCCTGTCACTAACTATGAAGCACTGAAGTGTTGTGCATACAGCATTTGCTGAGCTATACAGCTTATGTTTGGGCAGCTATTGGCTCTGCTCCAAAACACACAGAATGACCAGGGAGAAACCACACAAAGAGTTACTGCATTCTGTTACGTAACCTAAATGTATTAGACTTACATCATTAGCAGCATGTAAGAACCACTCTTTAGCCGTTTCTGCATTGGTGATAGTTTCTTGGGTGGTGAAAGTCTGCACATCATAAAACAAACAAGTATGTAAAACACTGTACTTCATTGAAACAAGTTCAGGCTGCTAAAACATCATATGTTCCAGGTAATCAGAGCAGAGTGATTTTAGATGTTCATAAAACAGCTGCTGCCAGATTTCAGCAAAAAAGCAAGTTTATCAATCCAGTGAAGATCAGTGTTGCTAGATTTACCTATCTAGTTTTAAACTAGCATATATTTGGAACTGGAACAATTATTTCCCATTTCCTGCCTTCCCTCCCCCAAACTGTTATGCAAAACCTTGAGACTAAAATTTTCTACTTTAGTCTTTCACTAAACATGAAGTTTCACCATTCAACAAAAAAGGAACTAATTGAGCATCAAAACAGGATGACCTAGCTACGCTGGATTGTCCTCTTGTTCAATTCCTACTTTTTCATGTAGGAACACTCATTTCTGCTAAGACTCTTGCCATAATTTTGTTTTGCTGATTAGAGGAAAACATTTTCCTGCTTCATGAAGTGTGCATACAAGTTCAGTCATGCAGTTTTCCAAATATCTACAACCATTCTGATTTACTCAACCATCAAAATTTAGCTTTAAGGGTGAACGCTAGATTCAACCTGCTCTCATCCATCTCCAGAAATATTTCATTATGAAACACAAGCCTGTTATGGAAAACAAAAAAATGCCATTCATCCTCTTCCAAATATATCCAATTATCTAACTACAGTCTGGCAAACAGAAATTGAAGTGTTACTCTTTCAATCTGGCAGTCTTCTAAGCCTTTGAACCGTGATCCTTGAACTCAATTATTCAAAGTGACCATTAGTATTACTTTGTGAAGTTTCCTTGTTACACTGTAAAGCTGTTGCTCAGCTGTAGTATTGCCAAGATAAGATAATGAGCACCACACCATAGAGCATGGCCAGCATTACACACATGTTCATTTGTTGCACCCTGTCTTCAACAGTAAAAAGGTTCTACTGTGCCTTACAAATGAAGGTGACCCAATTTACATAATTGTGAAGTTTGTCTTCACCAGTTTCCTCTGCTAAGACAGAAGCATTCCTCAAAGGAAGATGGCAGCTAGCAATTATGTTTACAGAATAAGTTACTAGCAAGGCAAGACTTAAAAAAAGGCAACTATTGAGTCTGTATTCAGCAGTAAGTGTCATCTTATAAACTACCAGCAGACTATCTTTACTACTCAGCATTTAAGTTACTTAGATGAAGATATTTTGTTACTATCCTGAAACAGAATGGAGATTCCCAACCTACATGCAATTCACTAAAACAAAATATGCAAAAACCAGAACACTGTTAACAAGTAACATTGTACTTAATATAAAAGTCCAAAAGTAACCTTAAGTGAAAGTAAGGAATGAGACAAGATCTTGAATTTCAATGAAATAACTACCTAGAATCCTACATTCCACCCACAGAGAAGTACAGTAAAATAAACTTCTGCGAATAAAGTTTAAACTTGTGTTGACTGAGAAATACACCCTAGACAACATGAAATTGCTCATTTGTCTTACTTGTTTAGGTTAAGTAATTTTCACCACTTCACTTCTGGATCCCTAAGTATTTCAGTAGCAACACAAGTTGTACTGTAAGTTTAGAATGAATCACAACAGGCCTGTTTAGAAACAGTCCACACTAGAAGTCCCTGATCTAGATCTTCTTGTGGACAAATCTCTATTCTGACTGAATCCTTTACAGTTAAAGGAAATCACACTCCAGTGCTTGTATTAAACATACCTTTGATGCAATGATGAAGAGCGTAGTGTCTGGTTTAAGCTCAGCCAGGGTTTTAGCTATATGAGTACCATCAATGTTGGATACAAACCAAACACGAGGGCCTCCCTTGGAATATGGTTTCAGGGCTTCAGTTACCATCAGAGGGCCCTGGAAAGAAGCAACAATTAGATTTTATCTTCGTTGCAAGCATGTACACACAAAAAGATGTATGGAAGTAAGGAGCTTACCAAGTCGGAGCCACCAATCCCAATATTGACCACATCAGTGATTGCCTTTCCAGTGTAGCCTTTCCATTCACCACTACGGACTCTCTGTGGCAAAAAAAAAAATATTACAATGACTATTTTATACTTCTAAAGTTAGTGATTCTAACACTGGAAATAGGCTGTGTTTTCAGGCATTGTTGTAGAAAATCTCCAAAGACTACTTTCAAGCTTCTAGACTTTAAAGCCTACACTCAAAACTACCTTCTTAGCTAGACATTTGGTTATGTCCAAGATGACACTTCATTAAATGTTAGACGTCTAATGTACATATTTAAAAACACATTGCAAGATCTAACTGTCCTTCTGTGTGGACTGCTATAGTATTTATAGTGTGTTGGCAAAGGCAAGAGAAATCAAGCTAAAAATGAAAAAGTCTTGTACATTAAACTATTTGAAACAAGTATTTGAACCTGAGTGGGTTCTTTTAAGTATTTTTAATCAGAAGCAATTTAGCTAACTAAACTGGAAGATGTTAAAATAGAAATAAAGCAAAGGAGATAGAGATTTATTGGCAAACCAAACATTCAAGAAGCTTTTATACTGCACCAATGGAGATTTATTTCTGGGCTTCACCTTAACAGCACATAATACAGGTTTCTGCTTTATTCTTGGTGGTTTAACAGTTACCAAGTGGTGACAAATAAAGTTACAATTGTTAAGAAATATCAAAACACTACACTGAATTGTTGCAATACCTATGCATTAAATTTGTTCCAATCACAAAAGGAATCTTTCTATTATCATGCATGCTTCTACATACATTCCTCAATTCTAAAGCAGTTTTTCTAAAACAAATCACCTGGTTATGCTGATAGTTGCTGTTCTTCCCTACAGATGTTTAAATTAAATATTTCTGGTTTTCCAAACAGAAAATCCATTTTAGTATACACCATTCCTGTAGCCTGTACATGATGTTGTCATGGTTTTAAAATCCCATCTGCCTAAGTGAGTCAACTGAAACAAGCATCTTTGCAAAATGAAACCCATGTTATGCAGTTCCTTTCGGAAGATTATCAGAGAAGTTACATCTGCATGGAAAGTGATGCTCACAGGCTCTGATGATTGAAACCACCTAGCAATAAAGGGGGTGGCACCAGTGAAAACTCTTGTTTTGCACTACCAAAATCTTAAACAGCTACAGTAGAAACTCTACAGTACAAAACAGACCATAGAACTTCTGTGGCCATTCAGCTCTTACATTATCTGAAGAAACTACCAAATTCAGACCAATTAGTGTCAGTTATTGTGGTTTTGGCATTTATCCATTAATAACTGGACATAATCCAGACTCATTTTGTAGAGGTTAACAAGTATGAGTTAGCAGTGATACTGGGTTCTACCACCTCGATAAGACTCACAATAGCAACCAAGCAGGTCTAGCTCCTCACAGCTGTGTTTAAAATGCACTAAAACTATTCAGTGAGCTTCTACCAATTAGTTTTATCACACGTAAATTTGACTTTGTTAGAGTTCTTCAGAGCATTTCCTCAACTGATCTGACAGATGCCTACATTTAAGGTGTACAGAATCAAAGAACCATTAGTGATATTTGAAAATAATAGTTAACTGCTGTATTTGACTAGGGAACAAAAAACTTTCATGCTGCTAAAGCTGCAAGCAGAATAGAATCATAAAGGCATCTGACCCAAAACTAGAAGATCTTTAAGAAACTATTTAAGTAGAGCATAATCAAATTGCAAGTGAGCTGGGAGCTTCTACCTCACTCCTGATTTTACACAAGTTTTAAGAGGCAATTTCTACTGTATAGAGTCAAGCAGTTAAAAAAATTAACAAGAAGAAATAAGGCAATATTTGAATGGTACTTAATGATTTACAAAGCTTCTGAAGTAAATGAAAGATGATTGCTAAAAAACCAAGATCTAGTGAGCCTATTTAAAGAAAAACACAACTGGAACAGAGAGAAGTGAATCATCATAAAAATAGCTCCAAAGCCATGCTTGAGCCAGAATTATTATAAATCTCAAACAAGGGCACAATGAATCCATGTGAACCAATGTACAATCAATGCTTCACAATACATATGTAAGAACCTGGCTGGTTATAGAACAAATATATGAAGAATAAGCTATGGTGGTACTTTATACCTGGCAGAAGTGTTTCATTTTGTCCAACACTTTGTTTACTTCTGGAACAACATCCTTCCCATCTACAAGTATTGGCACATTGGAACGATTTCTCAGAGCAATATGAAGCACAGCTCGGTTCTGAAACAAGAAGGGATAAAAATCGATGAAGCTATTTCCAAATTATACACAGGGCCTCAGGTGCCTCATCCAGAAGATAGTATAATCTTCAAGACTTAAAATCCTTTAGATTAACTGGAATTAGTAGAGTAGTAGTTTGTGTGCATATGTACACACACACTCATCACCAGTTATCTAAATCACCCTTTCACCTCACAGAATCAGTGCAGAGGACTTACAAAAGCATCTAATATTCAAAATAAACAAATAGCTTATTTGTTTACTTTGAAAAGAAAGCTCAAAATCCCTTGAAAAGCATTTAATGATCAAGATTCAGCATTCAGCAATATTCAGCACTTGGTGATCTTAATTATTCTGGCATGCTTCAGGTATACAAGGATGAAGCTGTTACCTATTAATGACAATACTGAAAATCAATTATAACAAGCAGCCCAAGTTACTTTCTCTGTCATTTTCTCAATTATCCTGCACAGTCCATTTCACATAGGAAGTGACAAATATGTGTTTAAACATTTGACAAAAAAGGAATGCAATAGCTACATTATTCTTCTCACTGCCCCCAAGTAAAAATTCCCTGAATATTTGCACACCAGATATGTAGGTGGTAGTTGTGTTATGAGAAAAGTCTGTTAGCATGCATCACATTATATTAATTCTCCAGTTATACACAAATCAAAGCATTGAAATCTGGCCTGTGATTTGCCTGTTCAGGAGCTTAACAGCTTTAATCTAGAATGAAGGAGTTAGTCAATACTAATGAACAAATTAAAAAATTAGTCTGCTCTACCTCATCATTCCTCACTACAATGAGAGGCATTGTAAGACAAAGACAACACAGACAATATGAACTGCCAAGTTATGATTTAAATACCAAATGCTAATTCAAAAATCATTGAGTTTGTAGTTACTGACTGGGAATACGAAAAAGCTCTTTCAGTTGCTAATTATCGAAGTGTACCCACTTAAATTTGGGGTGAACAGAGGCCTTTTTTTTTTGCAACACTCAGCCATGGAATGGTACTATTTGGTAAATACTGCTCACAGGCTTGAAGGAAGTTTTGTCTTGATCAAGAGAAGCAATCATATTTGACCTGAAGTCTACTGTTAAACAGAATTATTTTCTAAATATCAGGTGGGCTATGAAAATTGTCCCCATAATGAGCAGCCAGATACGAGTTACCTTGTAATGCACTGTCTTTGTGCCATATCAAGCTGCAAGTTTTAACTCATCTGGGACAAACACCTGGCAATGACACACTTGGGTGCACTATAAATAATTTCCACATAAGTACACGCCATCCAGCCAATGCCTGCAGCACCAAATACAGACAAGTCTTAAGTATTTAAGACAAACAGCTAAAAAATGTTCTAAATCAGAACAAGAGTAGTAGACAAGTCAGTTCTCGCAATTAAACATCTCCCTTCTGTCTTATTGCTTCAGGTTTACTCAGTCATTCTGTTTGACAGCATCCTGTTTTTAAGGTCTCATGACAATTTCACATTGTCCACACACTCATAGTCCAGAGCCAAGCCAACTTGATTTGATACTCTAACCAACAGAAAAAAGTTAAGCCAAATCTAATTCCAAGTCATCTTCTGACTGTAAATGAGAAATAGCCTGATAATGAAAAAGATGTTTCTAGACTCATCATACAGGTAATTGCACATGAAGTTGTCATATCAAGACAGTAGCAAAATAGGGAGCTAGCCACAGAAGCCAAACACATCCCAGTTTAATACTGTGTTTAAATGCTTGCTGTGAGAATTGCATCCTTCTGAGAAGACTGCGGCTGCTACATTTGCTCTCACATAGACAATGAGAGTAACTCCATAATATATGGTCAGAGATGGGCTAACCCTGTAATAATTTGTGTCACATGAGGCTAGGGAGAAGCAGTATCTGGGAAAACAATTCTCCAGGTAGACTTAGAGACTTCTCACCCTCTTTTCCCCGTTTCCTTTTTTCAGTAGCTAGAATTACATCTGTGAATTGAACACATTAACACAGAAGAGGAACCATTTCTCCAGTGAAGCTTTATCTGTTTCTTTGTGCACTTTTACATGTATGTAGCATTCAACAAACAATACAATGTCCAACTGCTACGTTATTTTAAGCAAAAAGCTTATGCAACAGCTAAATCAGTAAATAACAAAGTCAAAGGAAATACTGATTCCTGTGAATTTACCTCAAACATACTAAAAAGTCTAATATTTAAGGCAGACTAATAAGTCACACTATACTGTTCAGTTTCATCCTCTTTTTAATTTCAGAAAAAAGGTACAGTTGCTTTCCTGTATGTTTTAGCAAAGATTTAACAACCTTCATATCTACAAAAAGAGGAAGATGTTCATCCTCTTACTGAAATAGGTGGCTAATTTCCCAAGATTGCTTTTAGCCTCTACTGTTAAACATACTCAAAGATAAGTAGCACCAACAACCCAAAGCATAAAGTCTTACAGAATCCTCACAAAAGCTTTGTAGGCAGTTTACTAAGTCTTAAGAACACTGACATTAGGCAAAAGCATGTAAGGGATACCTGGAATGCAACACTCTGCTCCATGCCCTTTGCCAGATCCAACTCATCTTTCTCTCTACAAAACAGGCAAGAGAAGGCAAGAAAAAAATATACTACCAAAATCTAAAACACTACATGCGTCTTGAATGTAGGTTCGAATAGCTCTATTCACACACACTTTCTTCTGTCTTTTTGTCAGAGCTGTAAAAATTTCTCATGTCAGTAGCACAGCAAACATTACAACCCCTCAGCATTTCAGAGTAGCAATTAGAGTAAGTTTTTTCCAGACTCCTCTTACACAGATGCATGAACATCCATATAGGCACAACTGAGGGGAAAGAATCATGAACAGAAATAGCCTTACCTCAGTGAAGTTGATCTTCTCTCCACTGAACATGCGCTCTCTGGCACTTTCCACACCCCTTGACTTTGCCTGAGAAACATAAAAATAGATTCCTTTTAAAAATAGCAGGAAGTCAACATGCACTAAAAAGGTCCAGCTACATTAAAGAGTGTGAACATTTACCACATACAAGAGTGAAAGAAAAATTATATTAGATTAAAAGACCAGCTAGATTTTAGCTTAAAAATTGATTCTCCTATTTTAAAGCAAGTATTTTTATGCAGGGTGTTTATTCCTTTAAGAGGTTACACAGTAACATATGTGAATGACCATGATGCAGTGAATCCATCTTACTCAGTTTCATCTTGTCATACTGCTAATGAATGGATTCATTAATGATTCTTTGTACCAGCTTAGAATTTCTTTTTTTTTTTAAACTGAAGAATAGCAAAAGTAATTTTGCTATGGCTATTTTTGCCAATTCTTCCCTTTTTAAAAAATCTGTGTCCTATCTGGTCTAAGCCTTTGGCTGAACCAATAGTTAAGGAAGGCTTGTAAATATAGACACCATACTAAATTGAAGTTAATGACACAAACCTCTTTCAACTGCAAATAAATCTCAAACTAAGACTGCATGACACATGAAGTATTGTTTCAGTTGCAGGTAGAGAAGACATCACCTTCTCTTACAACAAATAAATCTTATTTTACTGCAGACCACAATAACAGTGCCATATTCCAGCCAGTCTGTTACACAAACAAAAATCTTCTCAGTGAGCACAAGAAACAGATCTGCGCATTGAAAAATGGCCTTGTACCTTGGGGTAAAGAACAATGCAAGACTTTGAACAGTGCCAAGATTTGTAAACAGGCACCTTTTGACTTTGATGGTCTCTCAAATTCAGAGGTAAATGTATATAAGCAATGCTAGAATAATTAGTTGCAGGTAAAAGTTAACTTTTTTAAAAGACGACCTATTTTTTAATTCAACATTTTAGAGTTACCAGTTCCATCAGCATTTTCATCACTTCTTCAGTAACAAGGTTCTTTGAATAATCCAGTAAGATATCCCCATGATCAGTATTCACAGTCAAGCTGTCAAAACAAACAGGTTGTTTAATTGCACCTTCCTGCAAAGTGACTGTTTTAAGCAAGACAATGATAACTCCTCTATAGGTTACAAAATAATCGGAATACTAATTATACCAAGTTAGTAAAGATGACCTGAGGGACCAATTTGCCCCACAAGTTTACAAAATTACTTACTAGTGTGTCAGTTTAATTGAAGATCATGTTTTTCAACAAGCTAAACTATAACGCCCACTTCCTGCTTGTTAAAGTCCAAATACAAGGAAGTATATCTAACGCAGTTGGACAATCACATTCTGTTTTCACTAAGCCACTAGCATTCACTAGCAATAATTAGCTTTTCCTATATATCACAGGCAACAAGCTTAACATTCTTTTGCTGCTAAAAAATTAAACTCTCTTTCTATAGGACCTTTCAACAAATACAGTCATTCCTCTATATGGAGACTTCAACAAGCCCAACTAAAAAAAAAATCTATAAAGGTTCATGTACAGAAGCATTCTGTCAGCTACTATGCAGAATTAAGTCCCATTTGTGCATGCTGTAGTCTCACTGTCTTCACTGACTCAGTGGAAGTCACCAAATTATTTAACTAATCCTCATCTGAAAGCTATAACCTAACACTTTTAGGTTTACATGAGCACTTTTAGGTTTACATCTGAGATGAAACACAAATGTTAGTCCAACAGAAATCAAGTAAGCCCATTTGCATTTACTAGACTTCTATCTATACAAGATGTTCTACAGTCCCTCTAGTCCTTTACAGCAGTTTTCTACCCATTTCTTTGCACTCATTACAGCCAAATATACACATTTACTCTAAACTGAAGAATAAAAGTTCTGTAAGTAATTCAGTAGGACTTCTATAAAAGCACAGAAGGCCTTTTATATCTTACTCTCACTTTTGCTTCACTTGTGCAAGCCACAGGAAATTGCATGCACCTAAATTCTCAATGTCTGTGTTGTTCACTATCTCCCCTGCTTTTTCTTTCCCAATACTTGAGCGCAGAAATATGCAATATTATTTTAGTGACCACACAAGCCAGAGACTTCACAGGGACAAACCATGGCATAACTGCTATTCCAAACAGATAAAACATGAGAGAGCAGACAAGATTCTGCAAAGAACGGAGCTGAACTTGTAATAACAGTAATAATCAGCATGGCCTAGACATTTGGGCAGTTTCATTGACTTGAAGGAAAACACATTAACATGTCCTTTTTTCCTTAAAATACAAGAGACACTAAATAAGGAAGGTGTCTTCAAGCACAATCTCAGAAGAGTGTTTCTCTTATAGGTGAGAACACAAGGCAAGTAGAGAAAATCAGTATCAATATGTTAATCACCCTTCTCTTCAGGGGGCTGCGAACAGTGATCCTGAAACCCTGGCAATCCAGCGCAAGGATACCTGGAATATGGCTAGCTAAGGGAAGGACGATTACCTCTCACCTGCCAAATTTTCTGTTTATTGATACAGTACAGGAATAAAATAAAAAAATAAAATCCTGCAAGTCTACCTGAGATTTGATGCAATTTATTTACAGACAGATCTCAGATTTGAACACATTTTACTAATGATACAGCAAGGCCATTAGCATACTAATGCTTCTTCATTTTAGACCAGAACTCAAAACTCTCACCTACACTTTAATATAGAAAGATAGTCTTTCCTAGTGTTCTACTTCATGAACACAAAAGCCTTGCAATCTTTTCTTTACATTTACCTGACATATGCCTTACTTCTACAATTCATTGTTATTTTATTTTACTTATATGAATAAAAATCAATCTCACTAGATCTAGGGGACAAAGTATCCCACGAAATTCTGTCTAGATTCAAATCACTACTCATTTGAAAAAACTGCAGAAAGATGGCATCCAAAGACTTTTAATGGAAAAATAAAAAGCAACCAATGGCTACCAGCTCCAACTTCCCACACACAAGGTAGAACACACAGCATGAGATGTATTCTCATCTTAAACCCTTACACCAAGAGGTCCACCCTTTATTTAAAAAGAAGCCCAAAACCCTGCAGCTCAGTTGCATTCTGCTACAGTACCCATTCTGCAATGCAGCAGCTAATGGTAGCGCTACCCAGGTGGAACAAGAGCCTTGTCACGTAAGCCACATCCACATTTAAGTGATGCAGCCCTTAATCGGAAGGTCACCTGCAGCATCTCAGAAGCATTTTATCTCCCATCTAAACACAAACTAAAGCAGCTGTATGCAACCCCTAAATATATTATTACACATGTATTCCCTGGTGGCAATTTTCCATTTAGATTGGAGGCTCTTTCTGATCTTCATAATGGACAAGCCAACTAGCAGGAGTGTAATACCAGTGCTTTATATCTTGCACTTGCTATCTGCATCAGGAATACCTTAATCAGCTTCCAGGAATCTATTATCTGCTGAGTTTTATGATGGCTGCATCATATCAGTTCTAACCCATTCAAAACTAGTAGAGTTTTTCTAGTGAACAACCCATGTTGTTAAGACCCACTGTTCTTACCAGACCCTACATTTGGGTGGCAAAGAAAGCCAAAGGTATACCCCACAGGTTTGCCTACACTCCCTATCAGGAAAACAGGGGACACAAATTCTGAGGAAGAAAAAAGGACAAAAAGGAAGAAAGGATCTTCTATCTATATTCTAGAGGACACTATTACAAAGTGTAAAGCTCTTATAATAACATTAAATAGATTCTTGTGATCAGAGATAAAACATTCAGATTGAAAATTATTCACACCAGTCTGAAATTTCTCCAGAACCAGTATCAAGAAGCCCTTTGCATGGGTATAAGTTTTTCTTTTCCTTTTAAAGGAGGAGAGATAGTCAATGATTTTATGCTAGTACCTGGCAGAACTGAAATGTATTCATAAAGATTAATTTCCCATGAGGAGAGATGTGCAAACTACAGAGAGGACCTTGTGGCCAAGCCTCCAGACTACTTAAGCTTTCAACAGATGTTAACTACCATCACCCTGCTGATCTGGCTCATGAAGTGGCAATCAGCAAGAAGTATACAAACAGATCTGTCAAACTAACCCAGGCTGTCAGTTCTGTAATTGTATTTTGCTATGAGAATGTTCTCCTGGTAGTCTAGAATGCATTGGTTTATCAAGAAACAGGACTAAAATAATGAAAAGAAAGGACTAAGATAGATTAAGTAAACTTAAAACACTTCAACTATTTCCTATCCTTATGGGCAGCAGAAAAAGACATTAAGTTGGGCAGCTATTTGAAACAGATAACCTTGTTAAAGAACATGTCACTGATAAACACATTCTAGGAGACACTGACTACATTCAGCATAGAGAAAGTGTGTTAGAGATGAGTGTGTATGCCTGAAACAACAGTTGTCAAATATCTTCTGCTCGGTTAACTGTACAGTGACAGTGTAACAGATTGACAGAGTACATCTTATGGTTAAAGTAGCTTGGATAATATTAAAATGACAGCCAATGAGATGAAGATGCAGTGCTATCCCCAATAGGAGTACTTGCTTAAGCCATTCAGGAAGGAACCTTGTAAGAAACCTCTTGATAATACCTTTTGATTTATTTAGCTAGTTTGCTTCAGCTTTCCTCTGTTCCGAGGATGTTACCAAATTCAGTCTCTTGGGATATACTAGAGGTAAGGAAAAATTGCAACTTGTAAGGAAACTCTGTTAGAGAAGAGCTAGTAGATAATATTAATAAAATTCTTTAACAGTATTAAAAGTACTGTTAGAAGAGCCAGATGAAGTCAATACTCCAAAAGTTTAGCATACCTTTTCCATCAATGCAAATGACACTTAACTCTGGTATACTGGTATGCAGGACTTCATACACGATGTTTAATTACAATTTAAGAAGTATCTAATGAGCTCAAGAGGAAAGAAAAATCACTTTACCTAGGATGGCAATGAAAAGCTTGATACAGGCAACAAGACTTATCTCAACACTCAATAACAGAAGCTCACTGTATCTGTATTACCCAGGCTCACTTTAAATCTCAAGTCAGGGATGCATCTACATAGTATTAAACTTCAGATTGCTGGTATAGTCCAACAGTGTTACCACACACATTATTTCTCAGCACACTGTACAGAAAACGTTAGTCCCACTTTACAGGATGAAACGGCTGAACATTATCATACTGCTTCCACCTCTTACTTCCTCCTCTAGTAAAAACGTGTTGCAATGCATCTGCTGTAACGTGGACAGCATGAGGCAAGGGAGGGCTAAACCTGCTAAACCTCCCCCCCCTTCCCCATCTCAGGGCAAGGGCAGGCGCCGCCGTGCTCCTGAGAGGGGGGGTAACACGGGTGGATGGCTCCTCGTGATCTTGTCTCGGAGCTTATCATGACTAAGCACACGGGTGCGGGAGTCTGAGAAGCGGAGGACCCAGAATGCCGCTGTGCGAGCCGCAGCCCGGCGCTGTGCTTCCCGGCACGTACCCTGCTGCAAGGCTGAGTCAAGGACGAGCACGCCCGGCCGCCCTCCGCGGGGACTGCCAAGGGCC